AGAGATGGGATTTGACCCAGAGACCAGCAAAAGACAAAGATTGTAGAGTGTTATCAGGAAGAGAAAGCAGCTGAGGGAGTCATAGACAGAGGAACTATATGGGCAGTGGGAGGGAGAGAAGTGGGAATGTGAGAACTGGCCATTAGATGAGGTGAAGGAACTGGATTGGTAGTTCAAGTTCAGTCCATGAAGGGCCTTGAAAGCTCCAGTCAGAAGGTTTGGGAGTCTCAGCAGTGGGAAACCTGCCGTGGGCCTCTCCCCTAAGTGGATCACACCCTTTGCCAGTATTATAATTGGGGTTGTCCTCAACATCCAAGGGCAAGAGGATTTTCAGTCTCCTGCAAAAGGTACAAATGCCACCCAGTGTAATGCTCATGTGGTAAAGCCAGTCACTGCTCCCCACCCATGTCTCCCTTGGGGGTCAGTGGAGCTCGACTCCCTGCTTGCCTCTGTGCTGCTCTGAGCTATAGGCACTAGTGAGTGATGCTTCACTTCCTCCTGCTTCCAGAGCCCAGATGCCTGTCCAGCCTCCAAGTAAAGACACAGAAGAGATGGAAGCAGAGGGCGATTCCGCCACTGAGATGAATGGGGAGGAAGAAGAGAGTGAGGAGGAGCGCAGCGGCAGCCAGACCGAGTCTGAGGAGGAGAGCTCAGGTGAGCCCCCACATACAGGTGCACGTGTGTACACAGGAGTAGCTGCCCGCCCCTCCAGAGCCGGCCCTGACTGGCCTCTTTCCCAGAGATGGATGACGAGGACTACGAGCGGCGTCGCAGTGAGTGTGTCAATGAGATGCTGGACCTGGAGAAGCAGTTCTCAGAGCTGAAGGAGAAGTGAGTGTGGGCACACCTCCGGCTGGGCTGATGCACCTGGGGGTGAGGAGCTAGTGAGGCTGGTGCTGACGTCCAATGTAACAAGCACCCAGCAAGCGGCCTGTGGGGAGCAGTGTTTGCCCGAGAGTGATGGTGCCCATGGGAGGAGCCAGTGGTATTCAGCTACCTTTCACCTCCCAGGTTGTTCCGAGAGCGGCTGAGTCAGCTACGGTTGCGGCTTGAGGAGGTGGGGGCTGAGAGAGCCCCTGAATACACAGAACCTCTTGGGGGGTTGCAACGGAGCCTCAAGATTCGCATTCAGGTGGCAGGTCCGTGGCCATCTTGTGCTGTTCCCCTCCTGGAACCCACAGCTTTCTGTCCCCCTCTGCTCTCGACCCTGCCCTGCCTCACCTTGTTCTAGTAGCCAAGCAGAGCCTGTCTCCCTCCTTCTACAGGGATCTACAAGGGCTTCTGCCTGGATGTGATCAGGAATAAGTATGAGTGTGAGCTTCAGGGGGCCAGACAGCACCTGGAGGTGAGCCGACTGTCTGCCAGTGGACGATGGGCAAGGCCAAGGGCCTGCCTAACTGGGCCCACCTGGTTCCACCTGGTTGAGCAGCTGTGCCTTTTCCAGAGCGAGAGGCTCCTGCTCTATGACACGCTGCAGGGGGAGCTGCAGGAGCGGATCCAGAGGCTGGAGGAGGACCGCCAGAGTCTGGACATCAGTTCTGGTGAGGGCGGGGCCCAGCTCTGCCAGTGCCCACCTCTCCGGACCTCAGCTTTCCTGGCTGCACAAGGGAGGGTCTGAGGGCCTGCCTCTTGGGCATAAGTGAGACCAGGCCTGGAAGGGCACAGCCCAGTGCCTGGCATAGTGGTGGCTCAGGCAGAGTGGGCCCCCTTTACCCCTTTCCAAAATGGGGAGTTGTTCCTGACATGCCAACATATACAGTGGCCACAGTCCCCTCCACATCCATGGCACCTGTGTTCGTAGGGGTCTTGAAGAGGTCAGAGTTGTCTTCATTGTGCTCTCTACTAAACACGTAGTTAACTGAGGCTCACTGAAGGGCCAAGGCTTCTTCCCCAAGCCCCACCATTGTTCAGTCAGGACCTAAGCAGCCCTAAGGAGATCCTAGCCCCAAGCCCAGGGTTGAGTCCTTGGGTGGTGATGGGGAAGGATGGGGAGGCCGGGCTGGCCCATGGGGGGACATAGAGGCCACAGGGGTGGAAGTGGCCTAGGGACCTTCACCCTGATCCTGACTCTGGGTCGCGGGCACAGAATGGTGGGATGACAAACTGCACGCCAGAGGTGGCTCAAAGACCTGGGACTCGCTGCCACCCAGCAAGAGGAAGAAAGCACCTCTCATCTCTGGTATCCTTCCACCCAAGGTGGCCTAAAACTGGACAGAATGGCAGGCAGGCTCCAGATTCCGGAAAGGGGACTGGAGGGGACATGAGAGACAGTGGGACTAGATACATAGATGGTTCAGTGTCATGTGATCATGCCCAGGCCAGTCCAGGAACTTCGTAGGGAATACTGGGTATTCCCTGCCTATATGGACCCTAGAAAAATAGAAAGCTCACCTCAGTGACTGCCCATAACTTCTGAGTGAGGATGAGCCTTTGAGCCCCTGGCGCTCTCTACATGCCAAGTGTGGGCCCCAGTAGTCTGGGCTTTCCCGCCCCAGCCCTGCTGCCTCCCACTCAGAGGTTCTGCCTGTCCCTGCCTTCTTAGTGTCATTGCACAGGCTGCCTCTTCTGTGAAGCTTCTTCTGGTCTCCCTGTGCTTGTGGCGTCTTTGCGACCATGTCCTGTCTCTAGGTGCCCATATCCCAGAGGGGACTTGCTGCCTTCACCCATCCTCAGGCAGGAGCCCCATGCTGGAGCTTGCTGTGTCTTCCACCCACCTGCTCAGGCAGCAGCGATGAGCTGAGTGCCCCTTCCCGTGCAGCCAGAGCCTTTGCCTTGTGGTGATGGAGACATGGAGGGAGGGACCTGGAAGGTAGTGACTTCCCGGGGAGCCATCGGGGGCTGAATGTGCAGAGACCTCCTGTGCAGAGCACAGGTGAGGGGGGACCACAGGAGTGTACTTTCAGGATGGAAGAGGCCAGAATTTGCCTTTAGGTGGGGGAAGAGGTCCAACGAGGAGCCAGTTGGTGACATGGCCAGATAGAAAAGAAGGAGCAGGGCCCCTGAGAGTGGAATGGGCCTCTGCTACCTGACCTGGAGAAGGGAGGTGAGGGTGCAGGGTAGGGGAGCTTGGTGGACTCTGAAACAGGCTGTGGGGATCCCTAACAACCAGGGGGCCCTGAGGTAGGAGGCAGAGGCTGTGTTCAAATCTAGACTCTGAGGGACCCCTCAGTACTGTCCACACACCTCTTATCCTGAGCATTGTATAGGTGGCACTACCACCTCTGGCCTCCCCAGCACAGCCCCCATCACCTGTCCCCTCCAGCAGCTATCCAGCTTCCTTGACCCTGTCACAGGCCCTTATATCGTGTACATGCTGCAGGAGATTGATATTCTCGAGGACTGGACGGCTATCAAAAAGGTGGGTCCCAGCTGGGGATGGTGGCTTACACCTGTAATCCCAACAATTTGGGAGGCTGAGGCAGGAGGATCTCGAGTTCAAAGCCAGCCTCAGCAAAAAGGGAGACTCAAAGCACTCAGTGAGACCTTGTCTCTAAATAAAATATAAAATAGGGCCAGGGCTGGGGCTCAGTAGTCAAGTGCCCCTGAGTTCAATCCCCAGTGCCAAAAAAAGATGTATCCACTCCTGCTTGAGTTCCCATCCTGCCTCTGACAGGGCCTGCAGCACAGGCCCCCCACTTAGATGCCGGTATCTGGTATCTGAGAAGTTCTCTGCTCACCCTGGGCACCCCCTGCCTCAGCCCAGGTGCCCTGACATTGCAGCAGCTCATGGTCTTCTTAGTCCAGGCTGCTCTGAAGAGAGGGACGTGCACCCTGTCAGCCCCTTGTTCCAGGCAACTCCATGGAAGAAAAGGAGGGAGGGAGGAAGGGAAGGCCATAGGACTGGCTGTGCCTCTGACAAGAGACCTCCAAACTTTGCCTAGAAAGGGTGTCCTGCTCCCCCTGCTCTGTGCAGCCCCCACCCCTCAGAGGCCTTTATGGAGGGGGGGGCTTGCCAAGCTGGAGGCAGGCTCTCAGGGAGGCTTTTCTCACTACCCAGGCCAGAGCAGCAGTGTCACCTCAGAAGAGAAAAGCAGATGGTAAGAACCTCAGGGTGTCCTGCTTCCCCTTCCCATCCTGTCCCCACACCTGCCTCCAGCAAAAGAGCCAGAGAGAAGACATTGGCTGTGTCAATCAGTGGCCTGATCTAGGACTGAGAAGTGTGTGTAGCAGGAACCAGGATGGGGAGTCTCTGGGTTGATGGAATGAGGTGGGTTGGAGCCCCCAGCCTAGATGGGCCAGGGCGGGCCAAAGCCCCTTGTATGAGGGCTCCCAGAGAGAGGCAACCAGTATCCTGAAAGAAGTGGCCGCCTCCTTTGTAGTTTAACTTCCTCAGTGATTTTCCCCTTCCCACAACCCCCAGGACCATGACTCTGCTGTTCACAGCCAAGGGTCCCTCAGAGCAGCTGGCACCACACCCAGGATTCACGTTTTCCAGCAGACAGGCAGACAAGCTCCTGGGGCTGCACAGACCACTCTCCAGTGTTACTGCTGGGCCCCACTCTGCCCTCCTCAGAGCCTGCACAGCTGTGGCCCCAGAGCTGACCTGGCCAGGCAAGACTGTTGTCTCCATCTCTGACCACCTTTCCCTCCTGAAGATAAACCTCCTCTGTCCTCCAGCCAAGATGACAGGCCTTCCTAAGCCAAAACAATACCCCTCCTGCCAACCTCTCCACTGAGCCAGGGAGCTGGGCCCGTGGCATGGGAACTGAGCCAGACAAGGGGCTGACATATGTTGGGGGCCTGTCCATTCTGGCTGGAGCTGGGGGTGATAGCCAGGCTTCCCAGGTTTTCTCAGGGCTATTCCTGGTGTCTGCCTCCCAGATTGTGAAGACTAGAATTAAAACCTTTGCTGGGACTCTAGTGTGACCTGTGTGTGTATGATTTACCTTGCAAGGAAATCAGGGGTTCCCTGGGGAGCACCTGAGACAGACTTTCTTCTGGGGCCTCTGGAGTCTGGGGTACAGGCTGGGGGGAGGGAGGCAGACCTGGAGTCAGAAGCCACATGTGGCTCAAGGCAGAGCATGAGAAGCACGCAGCCCCTGGTGGGGAAGGGACTGGTACACGTGCTTAGAGACCAGGTCATGTCTGCACCTGCCCCAGTTGCTTGGCAGATTGGCAAGGCAGGCTGGCAGGGCCTGTGCGTGGGAGGCAGCCGGCGGCAGCACCATGTGCTAACGACCTCACAGCCACACTCCCCCTGGTTAGCACTGAGTGTCAGAACCACCCCCAGAACCTCAGTTAAGCAAAGGGGTTGGTTTCCATGGAGACACAGCATCCTTTCTCCATGGCAACCTGAAATCCCAAAACCCAAGTTAGACTCAGGAATGAGTCATGTGTGACCAGTAGGGGGTGCTCTCCCACAAGGCTGACCCACAGGGCAGGGACAGATGAGCAACTGACCACAGACTTAAGGTGACCCAAAGGCGAGGCTTGTGCCTATGGGGACTGAGCCAGTTGTGCTTAACCCCTCCCCACCCAGCTGCACTGTGTGAGGAGGCTGGCAGACTGCAGGAAGCACTGTGCAGAGGTGGTGCCCTGCAGCTGGGGCTCCCAGAGTGGCGCTGGCATGGAAGGGATCCTTGCTTCTTGAACCTGGGACTAGAACAGTGAGCCAGCTGTCACTGGCCAGGAGGAATGGGGCCAGGCAGAGTGGACACACAAGAGTTAACGGTTGGGGTGTGACAGGGCGAACCGCCCTCAGGAAGTGTTACTCACCACCGGGAATGTGCACGCCTGTGCCTTGGGGGCTGGATTCTCTTCCTGAGTCCCAGAGAAGCCAAAGGAGCTCCCAGCCATGGAAGACGCTGGGCAGCCAGGAACACACCCTCTCAGAGACCCCTGCCGGAGCTTCACTCCCGGGCACCTGGAGAGAGAAAAGTTAGTGAAGTTGGAGGGGCAGCCAGGTGGGGCAGGGAGGATCTGGAGGGGAGGTGGGAACCCCCAGGGCAAAGGGATGGGCAAAGCCCTCCTCCCCACCTCCTGCTCAGATCTGGGTGCCCACCTCCAGGCCAGCCCAGGACCCGCTGTACGACACACCAGACAGCAGCCGGGAGCAGACAGGTGGGCCCCAGCAGCCGGCGCGCACTGTGAGCCTGCGGGAGCGCCTGCTGCTCACCCGACCCGTGTGGCTGCAGCTACGGGCCAATGCAGCAGCTGCGCTGCATGTGCTGAGGACCGAGCCCCCAGGGGTGAGTGTAGGGACTGGCCAGCCGAGTCGGGGGGAGAGCGGGGCTGAACACTGAGGTCTTGAGCCACGTGACTGTCCACTCACAGACATTCCTGGTGCGGAAATCGAACACTCGCCAGTGCCAGACTCTGTGCGTGCGGCTACCAGAGGCCAGTGGCCCCTCTTTCGTCTCCAGCCACTACATCCAGGAAAGCTCTGAGGGTAAGAGGGACAGTCTGGCAGGAAGGGGCTGGAGATGGGGGGATGGACCCTTCTCTGGTCTCACTTCTCTCATCCCTCAGGCGTATCCTTGGAGGGCTCGGATCTCATGTTCCCCGACCTTGTTCAGCTCATCTGTGCCTACTGCCACACCCGGTGAGTCGACCCACAGACCCTGCTCCCTGGACAGCCTGTCCTCCCCACCCCACTGTAAGATTTCTCCACCTGACTCTGCCCCCCTCTCTGGCCTCAGAGACATTCTTCTCCTCCCGCTCCGGCTCCCCAGAGCCATACACCAGGCAGCCACCCACAAGGAGCTGGAGGCTATCTCCCATCTGGGCATTGGTAAGGGCTCCCTGCACCTGTTGCACAGATGGACAAGCTGAGGCCAGAAGGGGAAGGGAGAGCACCAGAGCCACAGCTTGCCTGTGCCTTTCCTTGGTGGGCACCCTCCCGAGCCTTCTCTGAGACCCCATTGGTTTCTGGTCCCTAGAGTTCTGGAGTTCCTCTCTCAACACCAAAGCTCCGCAGGGTCCACCTGAAGGCCCACCCCTGCCCAGGCTGAAGGCCCGATCCCCTCAGGAGCTGGACCAGGGCACTGGCGCTGCCCTCTGCTTCTTCAACCCCCTGTTCCCAGGAGACCTGGGCCCCACCAAGCGAGAGAGATTCAAGAGGAGCTTCAAAGTGCGGGTGTCCACAGAGACCTCTAGTCCCCTGTCACCACCTGCTGTGCCACCTCCCCCAGTCCCTGTGCTGCCAGGGGCTGACCCCAGTCACACAGAAAGGCTGCCCCCTGGGCGGCTTCTGAGAAGGGAGAGCTCAGTGGGGTACCGTGTGCCTGGAGGCACCAGCCATGTCCTCCCACTCCTGCCCTCCCTCCAGGAGGTGGACTGTGGCTCTCCCAGCAGCTCTGAGGAAGAGGGGCCAGCTGGGTCCAGGGGGAGTCCCATGACATCCCCTGGCCTTGGCCGCCGCAGGCCTCTGCTCCGGTCCATGAGCACTGCTTTCTGCTCCCTGCTGGCTCCCGAGCGGCAGGTGGGCCGAGTAGCTGCAGTGTTGATGCAGGACAGACACACAGCTGTGGGCCAGTTGGTGCAGGACCTACTGACCCAGGTGCGAGCCAGCCCGGAGCCCCAAGAGCTGCAGGGCATCCGCCAGGCACTGAGCCGGGCCCGGGCCATGCTGAGCGCAGAGCTGGGCCCTGAGAAGCTGCTACCGCCAGAGAGGCTGGGTAAGGCCCCAGCCTGGCCTCAAGTTTAGCCCCAGCTCTTCAGAACTCCAGTCCTTCCCCACTGCCCCTCCTCGCCCCGTGCCACCTGGCTCTGATAACTGTTCTGCTGCTCGCCCGAGCACCCTTGTCTCGGCAACATTCAAGTGAATTCCACCCCCTGCCTCGCTCCCCCAACCTGCCTCCTGCTCTTCCTGCTCCCAGACAATTCTGCCCCTTCCCCCCTGACCCCCCGCGCCTCCTCCCGCAGAACACATCCTGGAGAAGTCCCTGCATCGCTCAGTGCTCAAGCCTCTCCGGCCCATCCTGGCAGCCCGCCTGCGGCACCGGTTTTCTGCAGATGGCTCCCTTGGCCGCCTGGCTGAGGGCCTCCGCGTGGCCCGAGTGCAAGGCCCTGGAGCCTTCGCGTCCCACCTGAGCCTGCCCTCCCCGGCGGAGACCGAGCAGGTGCGCCAGAAGCTGCTGCAGCTGCTCCGCACCTACTCACCCAGTGCCCAGGTGAAGCGGCTCTTGCAGGCCTGCAAGTTGCTCTACACGGCCCTGAGGACCCACGTGGGTATGGCCCCCTCACTGCCTTGCCCTGTCCTGCCCCCCCAGTCTGAAGCAGGCCCCCGAGGAGAGCAGCACAACAGGGGAGAAGAACCTGACCCTCCCATCTCAGATGGTGAAACTGAGACCCACAGAGGAGAGCACCCTGCAGCCCTCCTTATGGTTGTTAGAACACCCCATTTTCTATGGGCTGGTGCGCTAAGGGGGGGTGGTCACTATCTAAGAGAAGGAGAGGACTCTATCCTAAGTTTCTTCTTCCTACGTCCCCACAGGGGAGGGCACAGGCGCAGATGAGTTCCTGCCTCTGCTGAGCCTTGTCTTGGCCCAGTGTGACCTTCCTGACCTCCTGCTAGAAGCCGAGTACATGTCGGAGCTGCTGGAGCCAGCTCTGCTCACTGGAGAGGGTGAGGGCCCTACCTGCCCTCTCAGTAGATGCAGGGCTAAGGGGCCTTAGCTGTTATATGGGCCCTGGGAAGCAGGGCCAGGGAGAAGGTCACCCCATGCCCAGCCTGAGCTACACTCTGCCCCCTTGTGTCCCAGGTGGCTACTACCTTACCAGCCTGTCGGCCAGTCTGACCCTGCTGAGCAGCCTAGGCCAGGCCCACACCCTCCCCCTCAACCCCTCCCAGGAGCTGCAGCGCTCCCTGAGCCTCTGGGAGCAGCGCCGCCTGCCTTCCACCCTCCATTTCCAGGTAAGAGGCCCGCCACACGGTCCACATGAAACCCGTGAGCCCAGAGCAACTGTGACAGCACCCAGTCCCCTCTAGTCCTACATCACATTGCAATAGGAGCAGCGCCCTACCTGAATGTCAAAGCCAGCCTTCGAGGGAGGGGGTCCCCTGTACCCAGCACTGGACTGAGTGCTCCAGGGCAGCCTCCCTGGATCTTCACAGAAACACTGAAATGGGACCATTATTATCCCCACTTTACAAACGAAGAAACAGACTGATGTAGAAAGGAAAGGGACACCCAGCCCCAGCCAGGACTCTCCTTCCTTTGTCATCAGGCTTCAGTTCTTGAATCCACCTGGGCTCTGGCCTGGGTATCCCCAGAGCTGTCCACTGCCCCATCCTTCACTCTTTCCAGCCTTGCTTGTGAGTACAGACTCTAGCCAAGTCCTGAGTTCATCCCAGTTCCACCATTTCTTGTTTTGGGGGGCTTGGACAAGTTATTCTTTGTGTCTCAATTTTCTCTTCTGTAAAATGGGTACCCAGGGCTGCCACGAGGATTGAAGTGTGTTGGTGCAGGATAAATGCTTAGAGCACAATGTAAGCTCTATCTGAGTGTCCCTTAGACTCGTGAGACCCTGCTGGGCTGGCCTTGCACCTGCAGCCACGACCCACTAGCTCAGCCACACTCCCCCTGCCCCAAATCCCTCTCATTGTTTACAAAACTTCTGCCAATTGGTTCCACCACTGGGTACATACCACCCACCCCGTCCCTGTGTAGCCTTCTCTGGAGCCACATACACACCAGAGAGCGCTGAGTACTTGTTTTTGCTTCTTTTCCTGCACAGCACCTCCTTCGAGTAGCCTACCAGGATCCTGGCAGCGGTTGTACCTCCAAGACTCTAGCTGTGCCTCCTGGGGCCTCAATTGCCACCCTGAACCAGCTCTGTGCCACTAAGTTTCGAGTCAGCCAGCCAGATGTTTTTGGCCTATTCCTGTACAAGGAGCAGAACTACCACCGCCTGCAGCCTGGAGCCCTGGCCCACAAGCTTCCCACAGATGGCTATCTGGTCTACCGCCGGGCAGAGCGGCCTGGGACCCCAGGGACTGCAGCAGAGGAGGCAGGCAGTGGGCAGCCAGTGTCAGGTAGCCAGAATGAGGAGAAGGGGGTACAGGGAGATGAGGATGTGGAAGCCAGAGCCAGCCCCAGGGACACTGGGGGAGAGTCAGAGACAACTGCTGAGGGAAGAGAGGGTTAGGTCAGGGGGAACCTTCAAGAGCCAGAGGCTGCGGGAGCCAAGCAGCAGAGGAGTAGCTAGAAGGGGCCAGAAGCATCACCTGGGGCAGAAGCCTCTGAGCTGGTGGGGAAGGCCTTCGTAGCCATCAACCCCACCCTCCAAGGCCACAGCCTTCTTGGCAACCCCATCCAGCCATCTCTGGTGTCCGCCACCACCTCTGAGTGGCACTTATCTCCGTGAGCCTATCTGCCAAGGAGCTGGGAGACTGGCCACTTCTGAGTAACTAGAGTAAAGTTGAGGAGGTTTGGGGGATCCCAGACTGTGTTCAAGCACCCTTGCTTCTTGTTCTTCCTCCCCAGCCACAGGGGTGAGTGTGCCCCACAGGGAACAGATCAATCTGATGCCCAACCTATGGCATGGGGGTGGTTTCCTTGCCTTCTGTGACATAGGCAGGGCTACTGTGGACTTTGGGGCCCTGAAAAGCTCTATCTATGCCTGGTGTGGGAAGGAGGCAGCAGAATGGCAGCAGAGGACCAGCTTCCCCCAGCCTCAGCATCCTCCTCTGCAAAGTGGGTACACTATTGCTGTCCTGCCCTTCACTCAGAAGTGCTCGAGGGTCCTTAATGGATTGTTTCATTGCAAAGCAGAGCTCTTACTAGGGGAAGGGGGAGGGGAGGTGGGCGTTAGCAGCCCCCACCTGCTCTCAGGTGCTTGCTCCCTGCCAGGCGGGACCCTCTGCTGCACAGGAGTCAGACCCCGGGGAGAAAGTACCCTTGTTCCAATCTTTCCCGAAAATTGGCAGTCCTCCCGGGACTCCAGCATCCCCAGGGAATTGGGCAAGGGCAATAATGCCCACCAGTGGCCCATGCGCTTCCAGGATGGGGTGGAGGGCAGGTGGAGCTTGGAAATCATTTACTCTACATCAGATCTTTTGGTCCTCACAAAAGCTCTGTGGGCAGGCAGGCTATGTTCTTGCTGGCCCCACTGAGGTGTGGGAAGGCAACTCCCAAGAGTCACACAGCAAATCAGCCTCAAAAGGAAGCCCAGAAGAGGCTTCAAATGTAAGCAAAGAAAAACCGCTGACCACCAACCACGAGGGGGCGTGCACAACCCAGAGAGCTGCCGAGAGCGGCTAGGATGGCCAAGGGCCACGGAGCACAAGCAGTTTCTGTTTGCCGCCATGGAACAGCACAACGTGGGGGCTGAAGCTACTGGTCCTCAGGTCCTTCAGAGTTGGGTCTGGGTGAAGCCAGCCTCTCAGTGGCCATTCTTCAGGAAAGGATTGTCCCCCGATGGAGGAGGGCCCCAACCAGTCTCAGAGACACCACCCTGAGGTGCTGAGCACAAAGGGACATCAGCCCATGTGTCAGACATGACAACTGGGAAGTAAAAATTGTGGACATTTGCTTTCAGATGATCCAGATATAGCCCAGGTGCAGGGCTTCCAAATTTTCACTAGGTCCCAGAAGTTCTCCCCACTTCCAGCTACTTGCTAGTAGGGAGTCTCCCCTTTATTCTGTTGTATGTCCTCCCCCTACCCAACCTCTGGCCCCAGAGCCTTACAGTGCTTAGCATGCCATAGGTGCTCAATAAATGTTGTCCCTTAATTAGAGGTTGATAACTAGGAATGAGGGGCCCTGGGGATACGGGAAGAGAGATTCTGGGAACTAAACACAGGATGTGTCAAGCTCAGTCCCAAAGGAGGGATCTGGAATGTCTGCAGGGGTGCTCAGAGAACCCCCAGGGCCGGATGTGGAAGCGGGTCTCACAGGAACAGTCAGAGGCTTCTGGGCCCCTGACTCTGGACCATTTGCAAGCCCTTCCCATGTTCAGTCCTAGTTCCTGGCCTGGAATTCAGTGATCCTCCAGCAGTGGCTCATGGGAGCACTGCCAGATCCTGCCTGCATCCTGGGGACTTTTGTTTACCTGATTCTCAGGGGCCCAGGCCACATCAGCATGACCAAGTGTGATGATAAAGGGGCAGGGGCTCCAGGCAGGGTAGGAGATAATAAGCCAGCGTCATCCCTACTTTACAGATGAGGAAACAGGCTAGCTTGGGGCATGTGGCTCCTTACAGGACAAAGGACTCAAACACAAGGTTCTCCAACACAGAAAGACTCATTTACTCAATACTCAACAGTAATATTTTTGAGTGTCCTGTGTAGATCAAGCACCAAGCAGCCACAACCCACAAGGAAACGGGTGGAATCTCATCTTCCTCATGCTGTGATCAGGGAGGAAGCAAAGAGCCTGCTGCATTTTAGGGGGTTCTGCACCACCCCTGCCACCAACCACGCTTGTCCTTATAGAAGAAGAAGCCAAGGCTGAGAGGTCATGCACTTTGTCCAATGTCCACTGCTACAGGGCAGGGCTGGGACCCGGAACTGATGTTTGGCTCCGTGGAGAGCAGCAGTCATTTCCTTGCTTGGAAATGTTGCACTTATCACTTCCAAAGTCACCCTAGTTGTATGTGTGAGTGTTTATTGTCTGTCTCCCCCACTAGCATGCCAGAGCCAAGTTGGCCTTGTTCCCAGCTAACTCTCGGGGGGCCCTAGAACAATGCCTGGGCCGGAATTGGCACTTAGTAAATCTGTGCAGAACAGTGTGGAATGATGGGTCCAGGATGACTCTATGAAAGGGCTCCTGTGAGTTCCTGGGGTGGCATGTTCTCCCTCACTGCCACCAGGGGGTGTGCACACCTCATTTCCAGCTCCATGCCGGGTATCTTCTAAACAGAGGCCCATACATAGGAGACTCAGGACCCTGGGACCCATGCCCAGCCTGGCACTAGCAGTGGAGTAGGGATCCTGCAAAAGCAGGTCAGGACAGGGATGAGGGAGGGGCCACCTGTCCCAGGTTCTACAGCCTCATAGGCCAGGAGCCAAGGCCTATGGGATGGCCTGGGAGAGGTGGGGTGGACAGCAGGCACCTGACTCACCCTCAGTACAACATTTAACACCCTGCAGTGACCCATGTTCAACATTTAACATCTTCTGACCCATGTTAACTCCCACGATTCCACACACAGAGACTCCTGACCCGCATTCCAACACAGAGTGTAATACCCATCCACCACAGCAGGCACAAGAGCACCCAGGCACCAGTAGGGCACCCATGAGGACGAGTTGGCATAGAGACCTTAGTGATCAGCTGCACAGATCTCCTGACACACTCAGACCTACCTGTGCAGAACTGCCACAATACCCACACCACCTGCTCAGATATGGCCACACACACACGACTTTGCTATAGCACAGGGCTGCTATTACCTGCAGTCTGAGCCCTGAAAGTGCAAATACACAAACACACAGACATGTGCGCACACACATACACCATACTTTTTTTTTAATATTTATTTTTTAGTTTTTAGGTGGACACAATACCTTTATTTATTTTTTTTAATGTGGTGTTGAGGATCGAACCCAGTGCCCTACGCATGCCAGGCGAGTGCACTACAGCTTGAGCCACGTCCCCAGCCCACACCATACTTTTTTTTTTTTTTTTTTAAACTCTCGAGCATGCCCAAGAGGTCCAAGCCCCTCTCCTGACTAATCTTCCCAGCCCTGGCCCACCCCTGCCTCACTCACCCCCCACCCAACCCGGCCCCTGGTAGACCCTGGGGGGGCTGTGAGTGCTAGGAAGACCCCTGTGAGGGGCGTGGCAACCCCACTGGCCAAGCAGGAGGCAGAAGCCGGCTTCGCTGGGTGGGGAGGCCTGAGCTCATCAGATTCCAGCCGGCCTGATTCACAGGAAGAGCCGGGGAGGGTCTGGGAGGGGACAGAGCCCAGGGGCTGGGGTTCTGGGGGCCTGGGTGGGCTTTAGGAGAGTCCGGGATCTAGAGCAAGCCTTTTAGTTGGGGTTGGGGTTTCCTGGGGGGGTGCCGGAAGGAGAGCCTGCGAGGCGGGGCTCCTGGGAGGGGCTTAGGACCCTGAACTGAGCTGCAGGATGAGACAATCGGCCCTGCCCGCCCCACCCAGCCACCAGGCCCCACGCCTTTTCAGCAGCTGGGTGTCTTTAACCGGGGTTAGGCCAAGGGCGGGATGGGGGAGCAAGGATAGGGTGACCTTCCCGGCCCATCTGGCCCCTCAGGCTCTCGGGCAGGCAACCCATGAATGAACTTCAGAGGTCCCAAGGGGCTGGGCCTGCTTAACTTAGTCTGTTGGGGCCCGACGGGTTACAGATCCACGGGGCCCTGCCAGGCATGGATTCTGCCAGAGAGACAGAATGCTTGGGCTGTACCAGCGCCAGGGATGTTGCTGAGATGGAGCCCTCTGCGCCTGCTACCCCTAGAACTCTGTCTCCCCAGCCAGGCTGATGCTCGGAAGAGGTGGGGGCCCACGGTGCCTAGACCCAGTTGCAGGGTGACAGGAAGAAAGGATGGGGCTGGGGGCAGGACAAAGGCACAGGAAGTGCCTTTCTTGGAACTCTGCACCAAAATAGCCCATTCTGTTCCTACACTTGGTCTCCAAGTCCCAAGGGGAGGTGTGTGTCACCAAGGAGACCCTCACCAGGGAGGGGCCTGAGTTGACCTCAGTCTGGCTTTTGCCTGTCAGCCATTCAACCCCCACCACCAGCCTGCGCTCCACTTTGAAGTCCCAACATAAATATCATGTCTGCTTGGTTCTCCTTCCGGGCCTGGTCAGGCCCCCAGACCTGGCTCGCACCCCAGCCAGCCCTGGGGCTGCAGTGCTGGGAGAGAAGAGAGGCTGGACCACCCAGGGTTGGGGGCAAGCTAGAGACTCTGTGACAGAGACAGAGGGACCCTGGAGACAGAAAACACAGAAAGAGACAGAGCACCAGGAGACAGTAGACAGGGAGACCCCCAAGACCCACAGGAGAGCTGCAGACCCAGACACGGGGGAGAGAAGAAAGGGAGGCGAGAGGCTGCAGTCAAAGGGAGAGACACCGAGATGCAGAGATCCTTGGGGACACTGAGGGGGCAGGAGGAGGAGGCGTTGACAGGAAGAGAAGGGAAAGTAAGAGCCTTCAGAGAAAGTTCCAGAGGTGAGGGGTTGTGGGAGGCTGGGACTGGGGTAGCTGGGGAAGAATGTCGTGGGACCAACCGCCTCATTTGCTCAGGCCTGAGGGGGTTCCTAGGACATGGGGTCTGTAGTGCTGAAATCAGAACGTCCTCAGAAAGCTGGGACAAATTGGTCACCCTAGGTGGCAGGCTTAGGAGGGAGGTTCCACTCCCACAGGTAGCCTTGGATCACTAAGAAGCTTCATCCTTGAGAAGGGCTGTGGGCATGTGCAAGGGCAAGTCTAGTTCCTTTTAGCTCTGACATGGGCTCAGGATTCCCTTTATTTTCTTTTTTCTTTTTTTAATGTTTTT